AGTATGATATGTCAAGATTATTGTACTTTCATGTATAACTATTTAAAACAAATAAAAAATAAATAAATAAATTTAAAAAATAAACACTGGCATCAGGCTGGGGTTGTGGCTCAGTGGTACAGTGCTCGCCTAGTGCGTGTGAGGCCCTGGGTTTGATCCTCAGCACCACATAAAAATAAATAAAATAAAGGTATTGTGTCCAAATACAACTAAAAAATAAATATTAAAAACAAAACAAAAAATACTGGCAATCTCACTCCAGTCAGAATGGCAATTATCAAGACTATAAGTAGCAATAAATGATGGCGAGGATGTGGGGGAAAAGGTACATTCATACATTGCTGATGGGAACCTCAAATTGGTGAAACTACTATGGAAACCATTATGGATATTCCTTAAAAAACTTGGAACGGAACTACCATTTGACCCAGCTATCCGACTCCTCAGTTTATATCCAAAGGACTTAAAATCAGCATACTACAGTGATGCAGCCACATCGATGTTTATAGCAGCTCAATTCACAATAGCTAAACTATGGAATGAACCTAGATGCCCTTCAACAGATGAATGGATAAAGAAAATGTGGTGCATAATACACAATGAAATATTACTTAGCTTTAAAGAATGAAATTATGGTATGGTATTTGCAGGTAAATGGATGGAGCTGGAGATTATCATGCTAGGAGAAATAAGCCAATTCCAAAAAAAACAAAGGCCAAATGTTTTCTCTGATATGAGGATGCTGATCCATAATGGGGGGCTAGGGAAAAATGGAGGAACTTTGGATTGGGCAGAGGGGAGTGAGATAAGAGGTGGGGGTGCTGTGATGGTGGGAAAGATAGGGTAATAATGTCCATCTCATTCTACTATGTACATGTATGATTGTATGACCATTGTGACTCTGCATCATGTACAGCCAGAGAAATAAGTTGTGCTCCATTTGTGTACAATGTGTCATAACTAATCAAAACAAATTTAAAAATTAATTTAAAAAAATGAAAAAAGGCATTCTGCTATTATGTATAACTAATCAGAACAACAAAAAAATCTGAGCATGTAACTCGGGATTAATGCGACTCTGTGTTAAATCTCCACTGCCATAGGGAAAAAAAAAGGATTTGTAAACAAAAACAAAAACACTAGTAAAAAGGGAAGACATGTTTAGGGAAAGTTCTCTTTCCATTGTTAATCCTTATAGTACACATAGGACTGTTCTTAATTACTTAATTACTACTATCTTAAATTCCTAATTCATTTATGTACTGAAATGCTGATTCTGCACCCAAATAGTCTTAGTAAATTCATTTCATCATCTACAAAATGGGATAGTGGTGCCTGCCCACCAGGACTATAGTTAAAGATTAAAGATAATGCAATACAAACTAATTAGCACATTGCCTGAGTATACAGAAGGTGAATTCCTTGAAAGCACCAAAAGTCATTCGCCACTCAATTATTGGTTAAATGTTGATTAGAAATTAAATTTGCCTGTAGTTGAGCTTTTGGGTAGTAAGTAGCAATAAACTAAAGGGGAATTACATCCTAGGGGGTCAGAAGGTGGAAGGTCATGCCACCTGAAGAATACATACTTCATTCAAAAGGTGGAAATGAACGTTTCTGAGAGGACCATTTTAATACTGAAACAAATCTACAAAGATGTTTCTCTCTCCAAACTAAGACATGGAGAGAATGTATAAATAAATAAATAATTTTTTTTGTGGGGGTGGAGGGGGTACCAGGAATTGAACTCAGGGGCACTCAACCACTGAGCCACATCCCCAGCCCTATTTTCTATTTTATTTAGAGACAGGGTCTCACTGGGTTGCTGAGGCTGGCTTTGTACTCGCAATCCTCTCATCTCAGCCTCTTGAGCAACTGGGATTATAGGCATGCGCCATGCGCCTGGCTTGTAAAAATATTTTTTATATTTTTTCCTAAGAGATGTTTCATTCTATGAAATATACTTTCCATTCTTTTTCTGGTTATCGTTTGTCAGTTCTGAAAATCATCAAGATTAGAAACCTAATTAACTATGATGTTAGAGGACCAGTCATTTCAGTTCCTAGGCCACTATTGATTTCATATTTAACAAGGTAAGAATTTGCTATCTAATTAGAAAGAAATGGATCCAAACCAATAAATGAATGTATATCTCCTTGAGGTCATCAATCTGTAGGCTAAAATTAGGATTTTTGAATCTATTTTTAAATGCTTGAAGGCCTCAATGCTGGTTACCCTCCCTAATGAACTCTCTGTACCTCATCCCATTGTTAACACTGCATGTTGTACAACTAGGAAGAAAAGCTTAGTGCCTCTCACATATCCCCCGACCATTTCAATCTGAAGAAGCTGTGCTTTCTTTCAACTGGGCAACAACTGTTTCCCACACTAGCAGGACCAGAAGTTCTGGCTGGCAATTATAAGAGATGCTACCTTTCTATGACAACTATCCCTGCATTACATAACTCTCACCTATGTAACACATTGTGACTTAACCTCACCTGAAGCAAATGAGAATAGTCAGCCTCATTGTTTCAAATAGGTGGGGGAAAAAAAAAAAACAACTTGTAATTCTCTTCCTAAACTCTATAAGTGTCATTGAAAAATCTCAGGCACCACTTTTGCCAGAGATCACATCAGTTGGGGGTAATAAAAGTTGGACCTGATTCTCACTGGTTCTCAAGCAAGCACCTATATTTTCACTGGGTAGGTTCTAGATAGCATGTGTTAGCATGTATTCTCTGAGTCCCATCTTTTTCTTCTCTTTTCAGTGGCTTCTAGAAAAGTTGCTTAAATTAGTAAGAGGAAACTTATGTTTTTGAAACTGCATAGATTTTTTTGAACTTATCTACCAGTGGAAAATGGGAATAATAAAAATTGTAGGAAACTAAAGATCTATTGCCAATGAGAAAAAAAGGCAGGGGGAGAAAACACAAGGAGTAGGGGGAAGGTTCAAAGAGCCAAAGATTCAAATGCAAAGGGAGGAGAAATTCAATTGGGCAAGCAGATTTATAAAAATTACTTTATAAACCAGAAATAATATCTGAGGCTAATTATTCTAAACAGAGTTACTTTGAATAAAGTTGCTTATTATATAAGCCTAACCAGCATGAGAAAGTTTTAATATTTTAAAGTCTAAGTATTAAAATACAACTATAACCATGTTTTTCTGTCCCTTGTTTTCCATCCTACTAAACAGTATAAAAACAAAAAAAGACAGCCTTATGTAGAACTCAAGTAAAAGCTGAATCATTCCCTTACAAACAACTTTCAGGATTTCATCATCACCTCTCCACAATCTAAAAATGACAATGAAATTAGTGGAAAGTGATATTCAACAGTTGACATTTTAGAACTGAATTTCATAAAGACAGTGAGTATTTTGTTACTGCAAAGTAAGCTTCGGGATTCAACTACACTATATAATAGGGACAACATGTATGAGAAAGTGTATTAATGTCCTTGAACAAATTTTCATTGCTAGAAAAATAACAATACAAGAAGTATTAGCACAAACTGGTTGTTCTTTTGGCAAAAGAAATAATGCAATATAGACAGTTTTAAGAACAGTAAAATTCTAGGCAGCAATACTAAATCCATTAATAAACCAAACTCATGGCAAAACAAGTTTCAGTCATATTTTACTAATATTTCCAGATCTGAAGAATACCAATGATGCTGAACTTAATTTTAGTTATTAAATGCTCACTCAACGAACTATTCAAGGAATTTCTCTTGGACAATCTTTATTATCAGCATCATTAGATCTGATGAAAAATTTGAGGTAGTCCCTTTCCTTTAGCAAGAAGATAAATTCAGCAATAATCCTCTTTTCTCCCCAGTCCTGAGATTATACTTTTGGGAAAAATAAAATAGGTAGTGAAATCTGTATGTATTTAGGTAAATAAATCTACTTGCACAACTAAATACAGATCATTGGAAAAGATAATATATTATTTCATATAATTCTGCTACTAAAGTCACACGAAGTAGTATTTATCTCCTTAGCTCTTCTAAAGCTGCCTAATCCAAATAACAATGTATATCTTGTGTGTGTTAAATATGAACATACTGGGTAGCAGGTTACTGAAAATTGAGGAAGATAGGCAAGACTCAAGAGCATTATGGACACTGTTAACAGTTTGCCTAGGAATAATACTCAGTAAATTTTTTTCATACCCTGAAATCAGACAAATTTAATATCAATAGACTTGAGCTCTGGATGAAATATGCCTAAAAATACCAAGGGTTTTTTTTTTTTTTTCCTACAGATCTTACTTCAGTGAGCCTTCGTGATATGCCCAAAGCATGAATAAGCAAACATTCTAGCAGCAAAGAATTTGACAGATATGGAACTTTTGAAATATACAAAATGTCCATCATTCAGGTTTCAGCTCAAATATTACTTTCTCAGAGGTCTTCCTTGAGGTCCCATCCAGAAAACTGCTCTATTATATAATTTTATTTTCCTAATATTTTCTGATGTATCTTGTTCACTCTTCTATTGACTTGTTTGTTTTCCAACTCTAAGGCTCTGTAAAAAGAGGGATCTTGTATGTCTTGCTTACCACTATACTTCTAGCAGTTGCTTTTAGGTACAATCATCTGTTCAATGAATTTCTTAGAGTACATGACAAATGAAAATATACCAAATAGAAAAGTAATCTGTCTTCCATCTACACACACACACACACACACACACACACACACTCTCTCTCTCTTTCTCTCTCTTCCCCCACCCCTATCCCCCCTCCCTCCCTAGCCCCCTCTCTCCATCTCTTTCTCACCTGAACTATACAGAAGGTATTCTAATTTTTTTAAGGAAAATTATCCTAAGTTACAGTGGAATATTTTGTTACCTTAAATAATCTATATTGCAGAAAAAACATGAAAGGTTTTTCAAACTGAAAACCTTAGACAGAAAAAAACCCCAAAACTACCCATAAAAGAGTATTAATCCCACAACTTTTATCTCGGTTAAAAATAATCAGATGAAACAATTTTGAACATGGTAATTTATTTTATGCAGTTGTTTAAATCCATTGTTTAAAAATTTTCAAAAGGCACTTTAAAAAACATTTAAAAATACATTTTTTCTGACTTAATGGTGATCACTTAAAATAAGCAAGTCACCAAACATTTTTAAACCATTCATAACACAATTACTTTTAAATAATTTTTAAATTCCAAAACACAAACATTCACTATATAGTACAACACACTGCTTAGCAGTAAGATTAGTTTCCCTCTAATATACTTCACGTAGATTATTAATTTGTAGGGCCCTGCAAAGTCATTCAAAACTAATATAAACTGAAACTAGAGAGGAAGGGGGTTGAAGTAGCACAATTCAATTCTACAACTACTTTCTAGAGTTGGTTCCTCTAAGAGAATTGGTAAACGTTCTTATTTTAATCTGTTAAATTTTTTATTTCAACTGATATATAAATGTGTCATTTTAAAATCAATAGATGTTACACTTAGCATAAAATATACCACAGTTTATCTCCCAGATTTAAGTATGTTTCTGTCAAACCTACTATAAAGAAGTAGAGAAATAGCGCAAATGAGTTTTATTTTTAAGAGGGTGAGTAGGTAAGATTCAAGTAACTACCTCCTTTAATAAAGATGGAGGGTTAGTTTAAAATTGTAACTTTTTAAGTAGGGCAAGTATCCTGAGAGCCAGCAGGCATTATTTGATTTTAGACATTTAATCCTAGGGAAACCTAAAGTTAGTAGGTATAAAATTATCAGCAAGTCATACAAATTCTAATCACCTGTAACAGCCAAATTAACCTTATGAAGGCAGCATTAAGAGTAACTAAAAGTGGTACTTATAAAGGAAATAAAGAACTTCAATAAATACAAAGGAACAGAAATTAACAGAATAATAATCTAATGAACTGAAAATTTAAATGAAGAATAAAAGGCTAGACATGATCTGATCAATTAAATGAGGGGGTCTTTCAAGTACAACAGTGTCTCAGTCTGCTAATACAGCTTGATAGTAGGCTCAAGGAAGTGAAAAATAAACAATTATGAAAATAATCAGCAAGTTTAATGCTTAAGTCTAATTACCATATTCAAAAACATTAAAAACTGGTCAGCATTTTCTAATCTTATTACAGTGACAAAAACTCCTGAAAATTAAGGTATTTGAAAACAAATTCTGGAACAAAAACCCTGCCTCAAACCTATGAACTTCTCACCTTTATAAGTATACTGTATTTAAAAAACATAAGACAGCAAAAGCCTTATGCTTTGAGATCACACTAAAATCATTTATCCAAATGACAAAGATCTTAAGCTAAAATGGTGAATCACCATGAAATCCTGTTTTATGTGCTTTATCAAGAACTTAGAATTATTTTGCTTCTTAGATCATATAGGATAGTCAAAATCTTGAAAGTGATGAAATTTAAGTTGATGGTATGAATTAGCAGAAAAACGCTTTGCATTTTATTAAATAGCACTTTGCTACTTCTATTTAAAAAGTTTTAATAACAATTGTGGCTGGCTCAAACTTGCAATCCTCCTGCCTCAGCCTCCCCAGTTGCTGGGATTACAGGCATTCTCTGCCATGCCTGGCTAGTTGTGGATATTTCTTATGACACTAATGATGTATGTTTTAAATGAATTACTGTGTACTAATTAGCACTAATCCTTCCTGTCCAATGGGAAATTACTAAACTTGGGAGAATTGTAGATTTTACTGTAGGTCTCAATATTAGTCAATATGGAGAAGCTAAAGTGTATTGTCAAAATCAATGATCCACAGACTCTTTAAATTATCTTTAAAGTATTTTACCTTTAATATAGTGTGATCTTGGACTACACTCATTCAAAATATTCTGTGTCTAAACCTTTGAAAAAATTATTTATCCATGGAGTAGTAATCCTGAGTGTTTGAGACTATTTGCACCAGAATCATGTAGGTAGCTAGGCAGTGGTTCTCCTCCTAAGATCAGTAAGACTCGCCTACATGGTTTGTTTAAACAGAACTACTAGCCCCTGTCCTGGAATTTCTGATTTAGGAGGTCTGGGCTGGGGCCCAAGAGGGGCTGCATTTCCAACAAGTTCCCAAGTGATGCTGACTCTGCTTCTTGGAACTACACTTTGACAACCACCACTCTAGATTATCTGGTAAGAATGTAACTCCTACAGCCCGTGCTAAAAATCAGAGTTTCTGGGCTTAGGGTCTTGAGACCATTTAGACAAGCTCCCAGGCAAGAGCGTGAGATAAGAATCACTATGAGAATTTGGCTGGTCAATATGACTATTACTGGCCAATATATCAGAGGTCATACCATGTATATGAAAATGGGAATAATACTAAATGACTAACTTCAAGGCTAATACAAGTGAGAGAGCACATAGAATGAGTAAAAATCCAACCTCTGTTACTTACTAGCTTTGTGACAGTGAAAAAGTTAATTTTCTGAACCTCAGTTTCTTCATCTGTAATATAGGAATAACACCCAATATGTGAGGATTAACTCATGTACACAGAGTAAAGCACAGTACCTGGCACACAGTAGGCACTAGATAAATACTAGCTATTACTTATTATAAGATATATACAAAATATTTCCCTCAGTATCTGATTTGATCCCTTCCCTCATTTAATATTTATACTCTTTAAGATTACAGAACAATAAAACCTTATACTTATTGCTCCCTATTCTGAGCCAGACAGTGTTCTAAGAGCCTTACATATATTAACTTATTTAATCCTCAAAAAAAAAATCCTGTGAGGTAGGTAGTATTATCATTCTTAATTCACAGATGAGGAAACTGAGGCACAGAGATATAAGTAAATTGTTCAAGATTACAAAAATAATGAAGTGATGGAACAAGGATTTAAAACCCAGGCAGTCTGACTGCAGAGCCCAGGATTCATTGCAGCATTCATTTCCTACAAGTGAATTTTAAGATTTTTGAATGTTCATACTAAGCCATTTACATTTCTAGTAAAGAAAGCAGATAAGTCCATGTCCACACCATGGTAAATAGTTGTTCAAAGAACAGAATGAATGGCCTTGAAATTTTGCCAGATGGAATGAACCATCATGAAATCAACAAGAACAAATGTATTGGATTAAAAAAGGTGTTTGTTTTCACTATGTGGACATGGTACTCCATAAATAGCCACTGAAATGAACATCCTCTCAAATATACCACCCAGAGAAGTCATGGTTTTGACATGTTTTGGCACAATAAATATATTAGCCAAGCAACAGTCAATGAAGGGACAACCATGTAAATTTAGCATAATAAGAAATGTAAATCGTATGCAACATTAATAATAATCTTAACTGTTTTTTGATGGCAGTCTTGAATGGGTATTCTGCTTTGTTAGAATTATTCACTGGCAAGACAATTATCCCAAAGTAATAAGTCAGCATCAAACTTAGAATTAAGTATTTGGTCTTTTAATTATATGACATTTTAGTTTGTTTAAGCACTCTGTATTTTCTAATGTTTTAAATTAACTGGTCAAAACCTGCATTCAAAATATTTTGCCAGTGTATTAGCCACCTCAGACTAAAAATGAATTTTAAAATGGCTTTAAACAAGTTATGAAAGGCACAAACAAGTTCTCATCTTAATAGGATGAGAATGAAAGGAATAATATTCATGTAGTTGGAGTTTTAAATAATCGATTGAAAATGTCAGCAATACCTGAGAATGGCACTGATACAAGAAAAGCATGCCCAAATAGCTTTAATACCCATAATTAACAATGGGTAAACCTGAAAAATATTTTAAATGCATGCTAACAGAATGATATTAATGCTTTGTAAATAAACATTAATAGTGGAGAACAGTATTTGAGAGTGGTTAAACATATTTGGTGTGGAGGGAATAGGGACCAGGTAAAAGATTAATTAGAACCAAGTATATAATATAGTCAAGGCCCATGATAACTTTGAAAATGTAATTTTATTAATGCACTTTAGGATAAGTGCCATTCTTATTCTACCTTTTTTGAATAAATATTGCTGATTATAAATAATCACAGCAGAATTTTCATTAGACAACTGTGTGGTGGGATTGTTTCATTTATATCACACAGCAAATGAGTATAAACAACACTGAGCAACAATATTTCCTTCTAAATTTTCTTTAAGGCAGATCTGTTTAGCATTGTGTATGTTACATGGTACAGTGCAGTTTTAGCAAATTTAACTGTTTCAGTTTTTCAGTGACAATATTACACACGGTCAGGAGCAGGCAACAAAATCTCTTCTAGTTCTTCTACCTTGCCACTGTCTTAAGAAAACACAAATTTTTCATATATATATGTATTTATATTTATATATTACTGTATCAAAACACATTTTAACAGACTTCACAGCTCATTTAAAGCTTAAGTTTACAGTCTTTCAGTTGAAAGATTTCTATACGGAATGTTCTCATAGAATGAATTTCTCAATGGGATTTCAGGGTTCTATGTCAGAAATGCAGAAGTTCTTCACTGCAATGCTGGACATTTTACCTCGGTTCATTCACATTTTTCTTTCAAGGGTTTCCTAATTTTACTTTTGTATCTTCATTTTTGTTTTCTTGATTTATTTCCTTTAATATATTCTCAGGTAAGGCAGGTTGATATCTATATAAATAACCATATGGACGAAGATGATAAACGAGGTATTCTAATTCATACATAGTTGTAGAATCAACATAGTGAAAAGAAATTGCCAGATCAGAACAGCAACCAGGACCCTAAAAGAGCAGCAGAAACAGATATTGTTAATCAACAGCACATATGACATTATAACACTCTTAGAGGGTATACACTAATTTAAAAGAATCCAAGCATTAAACTGGCAAGGTAAAACAGAAGCACCTAATTTTTAGACCTACAGGAAAAAACCAAAAGTACTTTGAGTTCCTAATGGTTTAATACCAAACATGAAATTACCAAAGTATTTCTAACTGATACAATATTCTTTCACACTCTTCAGTGTTTCAGCAGATAAAATTATTCAAACTTCCTCAAATGAAAAGCGCAGGTATACAAAGAATTAAGATTAGATTTGTTTTCAACTTTTGCTTTTACTTCATAATTTTCTTACTGTAGTTTTTCACTTGGCTGAGACTCAGATACCTCTGGAGCATTCAACAACTACAAAGCCTTGTCCATTATGGTCTGCAACCTAATACTTTGTCAACCCAAATAGTATAGTATGTGAGAAGAACTTTCAAGTCAGACCTCGATTTGAATACAAATTTGAGTATACGTACTTGATCCTGGGCAACTTATGAAATCTCCAAAAGTTTCAATTTTCTTATCTGCAAAAGGTGTTTATTAAAAGGAGATCTTTTTATAGAACCTTTTGTAACCTTTTCATAGAATCTTTTGAGGCTCTCAGGTAAGCTGGTCAAATTTAAACTTTATTCAATTACATAATTCTCATTAATTCTTAATAGGGTTGGTGAACAGGTTTAATTCCAGCACCAGTCTTTTTTTTTATTTTATTTTAACACAATATCAATATCAATCTAGGATAGGAATTAGTATCTGAAGAATTAAAAAAAAAAAAAGACACGATCTGATGTTTCTGTCAGGGCAGCAAATTCCTAGAGAAGGTTCATGCTGATCTATTCAATTGAACATTTAATCTATTTTGCTCATTATCCCAGATGTGGAACACCTATAAAAACTTAAACATAGTGTATAATATATATTACAATTACATAGTAATATTAATATACCTATATAAGCTCTAGACTATGATTTCCACTTATTTTAACTCTTAAAAAGGAAGACAGGATATAAGGATATATTATGGTTATAAAATAATCACAATTATGTTGTCCTTTTGCTATTATAACGTATGTACCAATTATCAGATATACTTAGTAATACTAATACACATTTTGGTGTATTAGATGCTTTGTAAAGTTTTTAAATTTTAGAATGTTTTTTAATGGGAAAGGGGGCAGAAATAAGGAAGGTCAAGTAATCTTGAAATGGTCAGAATATGTTAAGAGATCTGTTTTTCCAAAGAAAAATGGATTATCAAAAAGCATATCGGGATACCTACTTTACAATTGTTGTAGCTAGAATAAGCAATAAAATGCTAGCATAAAATTATAATAGTCTCATTACATAGAAATGAATCTTAAAAATTCATTTATTAACATAGAATTTTACCTCAACAATGGAATATTTATTTTAACATACCCACCCTGATCCACTTCTTTTGGTACACATCCTATTAATCACCGAGGAGCTCCTTAACAGTACAATGGGAAAGACTTTTTTAAAAAAAATAATGGTGGTTTGCAACACTACCTAAACTATTACCCGGTTAGTCAAGTTACTTAACTTTCCTGAGCTTCAGTTTTGTCACCTATTAAATACAACAACATTTTAAGGATTAGATGCCACGTCTGTATAATACTAAGAGAACAAAGGTGGTTGACAGCAGCAGCAGTAGTGATTTACCTTAAAATTTCCTTTTAAAGCTAGTTATGTTAAGCTTGGGCCAGATGCTTTAGGCCAGAGTTTCTTAACCTTGGCAATGTGTTTTGTACCAGATAATTCTTTGTTGGGGGATGGGACTGTTCTGTACATTGTGAACAGTTAAAAATCTAATGGATTTCTACTTACTAGGTTGGAATAGCAACTTCCCTTCTAGTTTTAATATATATTTTTAATATATCTTTTTTTAGTTGTAGATAGACACAATACCTTTGTTTATTTTTATGTGGTGTTGAGGATCAAACCCAGTGCCTCACATGTGTGAGACAAGCGCTCTACCGCTAAGCCACTACTCCAGCCCAACCTCCTAGTTATAACAACCAAAAGTTTCCAGACCTTATCAAACACCCACTGAGTATCAAAATCGCTCCTGGTTGAAAGCCATTATTCTAGATAATGATTTGAAAGCACTGGCTTGTGAAGAAAAGAGTGGTATCATGAAGTGAATTGTTAGTACGTAGGGCCAGACAGAAGAAGGCATAGAGAAGTAACAACAGAATCGAGTATAAAAGCTAGGTTTCATGATTCCTAGCACCTTCACTTGTTCAATGCAGCATATTTTACAACCGTGGAAAACTAGAATAACCAACATGAATATCCAATGGACAAATTGCTGTATGTTCATAGATTACTACACAACAGTTTAAATTAATTAAGCTAATACATGTATCTCAATGTGTGAATTGTGAAATTGGTAAAAATGCAGATGGTATAATTCTATTTATTTAAAAAAATATTTAGGGATACATAAGTATGTATGAAAAACAAAAACATGCATGGTAATGAGTAATATCAAATTCATGATATTGTTTGATTCTGTAGAAAGTAGAATGGGAACTAAGGAGGATATTAAATAAGCCTCAACTGTAACACTTTTTTTCTTTGAAAAGATCTGAAGCAAATATGGCAAAAGATTATATTCATCATCTAACTTTAATAAATACTAGTTATCGTTATTCTGAAATGTTTGTAAATTTAAAATATTTTACAATTTAGATAAAATTCTCAGGAATGTAAGCTAAGGTACAAATGAAGAAACTGAGGTTCAGATTTTAGCCAAATTCTGTCCATTCAATGTCATTTAACTCTTAAATAGGAGAGCAGAATTTGAACCTCAGTCTTTCTGAACCTCAGTCTTTTCATAAGTTGTTTCTGAGGAATAGAAGGATCTTTAACCAGGGGCTGGGGTTGTGGCTCAATGGTAGAGCACTCACCTAGCATGTGTGAGGTACTGGGTTCGATCCTCAGCACCACATTAAAAAATAAACAAAATAAAGGTAGTTAAAAAAAAAAAATGTTCTTTAACCAGATCATCTCAATCTACTCTCTAGAATCACTCAGGTTTTTCTTCAAAAGTTATATTGGGCCAGTTGTGAGAGTGCATGCCTGTAATCCCAGTGACCTGAGAGGCTGAGGCAAGAAGACTGAGGCCAGCGTGGGTAACTTATCGAGACTGTCTCAAAATTTGAAGAAAAAAAAAGCGGGGGGTGGGGGGGATGTAGTTTTTAGTGATAGATACCTCCTAGGTTCAATTCTCAGTACTAATAAAAAATTACCCCTTAGGATTTCCTTAATCATCATCTAACAAAGAGTATATCATCCACTATAGGTCATTCTTCACTTTCTTAACTGGCTTTTTTTTACCCCTATTACTTACCACTACCTAAAAACATATCTTTACTAGTCTCCCTGTTCATTATGTATCTCTTCATCTAAAATGTATTTATAGATATTTGTTGAATGACTGTGGCTGATGCCCGTTCTCATCTGCTTTGTTAAACTGCCATAGGAAGAGTTCTAGTTGTTGGTACTAAAAAAATCTACACATATTAGCTAGTTTTTTTTTAAGTTAACAAAAGTCCATCAGTCTCAAATATTTATAAATATCAAAATTTCTAAACTTACCTCTACAGGAGGATAGTAGTTATAATTCCAGTACCAAAAGGTTTTGGGTAGATAACCTTTGATTAAGTGGTGTTCTGGTACAAAGGGATGAAAAGTTTCTTTTCCAGTGGTATCTCTGGAATCTCCAGCTTCTACGTTTATGATTTCCATGCATTTTCCCAGGGCTAAGTCTTCAATGGAGGAACTATGTGTACATTTCTCTGTTTTAAATGCATCAACAAATCTCTTCAAGGCTTCTTTGCTTAGTACGTATCCTGCTCCCCCACTCATGTAACCCTGCTTTACATAGGGCTTAAATCTTCTCCCAAAGTAAATAGGTTCTTTAGGGTCATAATTTGAAAGCAGCCATCTCAAATTGTCTAGTATGACATATGTATCATCATCTGCTTTCAGAAACCAATCAGCATCTTCTAAATAATGGTCATGAACATACTGAAAAGCTTTAATTGTTTTCCAGTAGAGTTGATCTCTGCCTTCTTTGGTTTTTAATCCCACAGTAGGAAAGTCTTTATTTTCTTCTGAACTCATAAACAACACTTTATTACAACGTTGAGCCCATGTAGCTTTGACATGTTTGGCCTTTTTCTCTAGATTCTGAGGGCCTGTCATAACCCAACAAAGAATTTTAACTTTCTGAAAGAGGTTTTCAGCGATGTCTGTGTTCTCATCTATTAAACAAACATTTTTAAAAGTTACACTTAGACTGATGCAAAATCCAAATTATGATGAAGTAAAACATTTCTTAAACAATTTCAAAAAACTATCAATCCGTTAGTAATTTAGATGAAAGAAAACAACCTACTGTGAACTACATTCTGATTTATTGGTTTTATGTCAGTTTCATCCAAGGAGTTCACTAGACTCACTAGGACCTTAATTCTTACTACTCAAACTGTAATTCACTGACCAAAAGTATCAGCATCACCTGGGGGGTTTCTTAGAAATGCAGAGTTTCAGCCTTCACATCAAACATACTGAATCAGACTCTGAATTTTAACAAGTTCTGGTGATTCAGATGAACATTAAATACTACCTTAAATAGTCTCTGCTTGGTACTTTATACTATAAAGAGGACTTCAGCTCTTTTTTAGCACAACGTTCATAGGAATTTCACACTGCTCTGAATGAGCTTCTCAAGGGCAGAAAAAACATGCTGCTGAAGTTGACAGTTCATTTTTGAAGGTCCACTGTTATCAACTGTCCACAGGAACCCTGAAGGTGGCCCTAAAACATCTCATGATTACACCTGTTTAACTTAGCAAAGGAGTTAATGTATGGCTGTGTTTACTTCTGATGGTTCTATACATACCTCATTCAAAAATGCAAATCCGCCATTCAAAAACAAAACAGAACAAGGGGTACAGGATTTCCAAGATTGTCTAGAGCAGTGTGTATTCAAGACAAGCACTTTACCAACTGAGCTATATCCCCAGCCTTAGAGCAGTGTTTTTTAAACTACTACAAAGAAATAAGGTGCTTCTTTAATCAAGGAAGGCTTGCTACCATAAAGGAAGGAGGAAAAAGAAAAAAAGGTATTCAACTAAGTAGAGAGCTTAAGTACTTAAACGAATTTATATCTGGGTGCAAGCTTCTTATTTGGTTGTTAGACCAGCACCACATTATAAGAAGCACTGGTTTAGTCTTGAGGAAGAGCCCAGTTATGATTCTAGACTAGCACTTCTCAAATGATTTGTGGTGAAGGACCAATTTTTATTTCTAATCATTACAGACTTTTTAAAAGAAAATTAAAAAATCATTAGAAAATGTGAACTAAAGAAATATAAAACATAAGCCCTAATTCTTTATTTTTAGATTCAGACAAAATACTTTGTCAGAATTATCATAAAAGTTTGTCTACTCCCAACTTCAACACTTATTTAGCTGCAGACCAGCATGAGTATACAAAATACACTTTTGAGTAGAAATGTTTTAGGGTGGTTATTCTAAAGAAGCATACTTTTAAAGTTGAGGTTAAACATTGTGTTATAAAACTTCAGTCCTGTGAAAAATTTACATTAAGGGTATAATTTGCTAGTTAACTGAGAGAACAGAAGAAATGTCTGGGTGGGGCATGAGCATGTATTCTCATGGTCCTCTGAAGATTAAGAATTCACAATCCAAAAGGATAAAAGCAGGGAAAAAAAATTCCACTATTTTTAGTAAAAAAGCATTCACTGCTCGCATACCCAAGAAACCCAATCTCTAAGCTATACAGACATCTCAAACACTGAATGGACACAGAAAATGGTCTAGGTGGGAGTCATTGATCTGTCTTATTTAGGAAAAGACAGCTTTCTCCCCACTTTTAGACCTAGCAGATATTCTCATTCTTTTAATTATTCATTAAGTACTTTGTACCAGGCATGTACTAGCCTAGGAGATGAAGGTGAGTAAAACATACTTCCTGCCACATAAAAATTCAGTTTAACAATGGAGATTGACATGTGAAGAAATAACTGCTACATACTAAGAGAATATATGTACAAAGGTTCCATGTGCTGAAGGAAAAGAAAGTAGTAGATGATAAATCCTATAGAGCAATGACATAAGGACTTGGGATAATATAGAAAATAGAACTTAAAATGAGTAGAACTCGTCAAAAGAAAGAACAAAAGATATGGGAAAGTTCAGCTAAGTGCAATTATGTGAATACAGCTAAAGGCTTGAATTAGGGAAAATGTACCATGGACTGAGGGGAAGAAATATCTAAAATTACATTAGAATTCAGTGACAAATGGAATTGATTGGTACATAAAGTAGGTACCATGAGTTCATAGTTTCTGTTTCAGGCAGATGGTAATATAGGAAAAACAAGTTTTAGGAGAGAAGAAAAAGAAAAGGAGTTAAATTTTTAGCATATCATGTAGTGTGTGGGCCATTGGGTGGAACAAAAGGTATCAAAAAATGCACCTGCAGTGAGGCATAATATAACCTACAGGTAGCAGGGAAGTCTGACTCAAATTAATGATCTGAGACAGATATGCTACAGAACAAGTACATAGTGACCAAACTGGTCTATAATAATAACACAGAGGGCTAGTCAGAGCTCAATCATTGTTATATAAACATTCATGTAACATGACAATTTGTTCATTGTATGCATGGTTGATAAAACAACTGGGCTATCATACCTCCACCTTTGATACCTGCATGAAAGGAAGGGAAGAATTAATTTACTAGTGGAAAGAAAGAAACAAAGTGTCTGGAAGTGGGCTGAAGGTAAACACTATAAGGAACAGGTGGAAATTAAAATCATGAAAGTTGACGATATTTCACATACAAAGGAAATACTGAAGATAGAAATGTGCACAAAAACAACATTAAGTGGAACATGGAAGACTCAACTGAAAATATCTGGTTAAAGAGACCAAGAGAAAAATGAAGTCATTATAACACATCCTTTGTACTTTTACTTCCCTGTTTTTTTTCTCAAAAGGATAGAAGATCACTTATATAAACTTCAATTTTCAATTTGTATCAGTAGTTAATATGTAAATATTATTCTATATTTACATTAAACATATGTAACACTTCATACTTATAATATAAATATTTATAATATTATAAGATATAACCTTGAGTTTTGCTAGAAAAACAAGACTCAGCATAAACCGCGAGCAAAACAAAAGAACAGCAAAACCCACATATACAGATGAACCATGATAACAAAATTGAGCCTAAAGAAAAACTTTCTAAAACTTGGTCCTTTTTCCAAATCATGGTTTCTGAACCATTTTTACTGAAAAATAAACTTAAAATAACTTATTTCCTAAATAAATATGGGCTTTAGCAATTCCTTCTCATTAGGCAAATAAAATTTTGTTTTAATACCTGGAATAATCCATAGTGATATAACAAAATTCATATAGATAAATTTCCCAACACTCAATGCTTAGACTAATATACTCCTTAATAACATAAACCATACCTTTATGTTGGCTAGAATCTGCATTGAAGTTCATTTGTCCTTGCAGATGATTCTGTCCATTATCATCAGAATGCCTAGCATGAGGATCATTATGAAGAATATTGGGCTGTGTGTCACCCTGTTCTCCCAACAAAATACTAAATAGCTGAGAGCATAAAAAAAAACCTATTACTGATCCACAGAGGAAAATTAAAAAATTCAACCAAGATTTAGAGGCCATTTCCCGAAAGTGTATTTCTGGAGGGGGGAAAAAAAAAAAAGGTGTTATAAAAGTATAAAGCAATATACATAAGAATAAAAAGTCTGATGTTTACAGCAATCATGGAAAGTTAATTCCTTTCATACAGAAAAATACTCTAACAGTATTTAACTTATCTCTGACTTTACCACCTTATTTGCTGCTATAACAGCATATTATAGACAATTAAGTAAAACACATGGGTAATAAGTTGAATAACCATTGTTGGCTTGGATGATTGTCAGTATTTGCATGCAGAATTTCCCATTCTTCCCACCAGGATCCTTCATGAACCCAAGACTGCTTGCCATGATCATTTACTTCTTTAGTTGTCAATAACTCAATAGTACTTAAAATCTACCTTTCTTTTATAGCAATCACCAGCTACTCTATTCTCCAACTCAGGGGTTAACAAACTTTTTCTGTAAAGGACTAGAAATTAAACTTTAGGCTTCCAGGGTCACATATTGTCTACAGCATCTCATTCTTTCTAAACAACTCTTTAAAAATGTAAAAGTAGCCAGGCATGGTGAATGCCTAGAGGCTGAGGCAGGAGGATCGCCAATTCAAAGCCAGTCTCAGCAACTCAGCAAGGCCCTAAGTAACTCAAAGAGACTCTGTCTCTAAATAAAATACAAAATAGGGCTAGGGATGTGGCTCAGTGGTCAAGTGCCCCTGAGTTCAATCCCTGCCCCCCATACCAAAATGTCAAAGTAATTTAGTCTGTGAAGGGGCTAGCCTCATATCTGCTTTTGTAAAGAAAGTTTTATGTGAACATATCCATACCCATTAATTTGTATGCTGGTTCTGATAGCTGTAACTTGGAGTAAGAGTACAAAAGCAGAGTAGTTCTAAAAAGATAGTATGGCCCACAAAGCCTTACCTGACTCTTTATGAAAAAAGTTTGCTGGCTCCAGCTCTAATTAATACCCCAACTTCATGATATTGGAGTAACTACACCATGCTCTTACCATCTCTCTCTGCTATCCCACTGGACTGCAAGATCCTGGATCATATCTATCTATTACAAGATTAACTAGGATGCTTGGAACACAGTTGCTGCTCAAAAAATACCTAATGAACTCTCCCACAAAATATATGGCCCCTTTAAGCATTCATACATTATGAAATTATAAATTCCTCTAAATTGCTATTAGAATGGTCCTAGATGTATAGTTTCTAATTCTCCAAGATAATTTAAACAGTAAGTTTGCTAAGCATTTACCATATGCCAGGTACTGTCCATACATAATTTCGTTTTCATTCTCACTATGCCTATTTCACAGATGAGGTAACAGAACTTTTTAAAAGTTAAATAACTAATATATGTTGGCACAATCAAGAAGAGCCACAATTTAAACCCAGATCTGACTGCTTAAGAAAAGTCAGTGCTCTTTCCATTACATTTCTCAAAGTCTACACCCAATCACCACTCACGCCGAAGGACAAAGGACATATACAATAAAGACCAAAGTTTGGGAGATAAGCCTCCCAATCAAAATTACCTTTAAATATGAAACCAAGATGTACAAACTAAGATTATCAATATAACGACAAATATCAAACAATTTCACATGGTTATATCTCAAGAATATATATTATTATATATAATTATTAAATATATATTTTATATATATTATATTTCCAGAGTGGCTTTCAGACCAAACATCAAAGCACAATCAGAAAAATCTACTCAAAATATATAAGTTTGAAGACACTTAAGATATCAATGCAGTGAGAATTTGTGGTCCAAGATCTGTAAGAAAGGAGAAGTCAAGAGAGGTGAACCAGATATTTGGCACAGTTCTACTCTTCAAGACAATTATAACTGTCCCTCAGTATCTACAGACTTTGATTCCAGAACTCCCTAGAGACACACACAAAAAAAATCCACAGATGCTTAAGTTCCTTATTTAAAATGGCAAAGTATTTGCAAATAACCTATATAAATTCTGTCACATACTTTAACTCTAGATTATTTGTAATACCTAATACAATATAAGTGCTCTATAAATAACTGTTATACTGCAGAAATTGTTATTAGGGAATTTAGGGGAAAATGACAAGAAGAAAGCCTATATATGCTCAATACATATGCTATATTTTTCTCCTAAGAATTTTTAATACACAGGTGGTTGAATCCATGGATGTGGAACCTGTAGATTTGGAGGGTTGTCTGTACTGATTCTGAAAGAGAAAATAGCTTCATTTTCTCTCTACTAAGAAAAATCAAAGCTCAAAGTCTGTCTTCTAGGAGGTCCTGGAAAACAATGCTTGATGTTATATATAATTTGATTTAATTTTAAAATGTTTTGTGATGCCATACTCTTACTCTTCTGCCCTCTCAGCATACGCTGGCTTCTCCTTGCTACTTTTACCTCACCCTCTTCCAATTTCAAGGACACCTGCCTTAATGACTAAGTATCTGTAAGCTACTTTTCTTTCCTGATCCTAGGATATCTCGAATAAGTAGAATGTACCCTCAAAGCCCACTCAGATTTCTAGCAAAATCATGTGTACCTCTTCAGATTTTTAACAAATCTGAAACAGTACTGCAGCAGAACAGACTAGAAGATGAGATTGCTTAACCATGCTGCAATTATGGGGGCTTCGAATTTCAACTGAATTGGGTGGAGAGAAGTTATTTATGCCAAATGCTTTCCAAATCTGATGCATCAGCAGAATCACTTGAACATTTTAAAAAATACAGATTTCTAGGCTTAGCATTTGAGATTTTAAATGCAAAAAAGTGCTAACACAACTAAAATTTGTTTTTAAAGAGAGCTCTGTTATTTATTGTAAAGAAAAAATTTCAATAAATAGAGAAATGCATGAAAGAAGAAATCACCCAAATCTTATCACCCAGAAAAAACTATTAGCATTTGGTGAATATCATTACAGATCTTTCCTTCTGTGAATAACAGGGTCATAGAAGAGGTAACTATAAATTTATGTGCTGTACTAAGAGCTTTACATGGATAAAGCAGGTAATATTATTCCCATTTTACAGATGTAACTCAGAGATTAGAAACATTCCACAGACACACTATGAGTCAAGAATTCCAAGTCTTAACCACATTTAAGTTATAATTTACAGAACTGGAAATAGTCATGTTATTTTAAGATTTAACATATAAATTAGAGCTATCTGAATATAGGAAGACACTGAAATGAAAAGAACATTTAAAGTATGACCCTCTCTTCTCCGAATGATCCCTTTTAAGATTAGAAAAAGAAAATTATGAAAAACACAAAGCAGTTGGAGGCCCTTTATTTAATTACATATTTCCATTTTAGACAGTATCTCTTGGTTTCTTGATGTATGAAATGTGGAAATCAGTATGCACACACAGTTTTTGTGAATTATTTTTGTTTGGTAAAAATTTATTAACTGTAATTTCATGACTGCTTAATCTTGGACCCATTAAACTAGATTTCAGCTCACTAACAGTAATTATATTACAGCTCCTCTAAATTTTGAGTTTTTCATTAATGTTACATTTTTTGAGGGCTGGATTTCAGCAAGCAGTTCTTTTATCAGTGCTAACTGGTGCTACACTGAAATTCTTGCATGTCTGAGAATGTCTGCTATTATCTTCGTATGCAAAGCACAACTTGACCATGTACAAATATTATTCTCCTTAGAACTTTATAGATATTAGATATTATTCAATAGTCTTCTTACATAGGCACTAGAGAAGTTTGAGGATTGATTTTTTTTAACTCTTGTAGATACAGACATATCTTGTTTTACTGTTCTTTGATTTACTGTGCCTCAGAAATAGTTTTTTAACAGATGGAAGAGTTGTGACAATCCTCTATCAAGCAAGTATTTCTCCAAATAGCTCCTGCTCCCTTTACGTGTCTGCCAAAATTTGGTAATTTCCCCAACATTTCAAACTTACTGAATCTTTTATGCTGCTTTGTGACCTTTGTCTGTACTATTATTTGGAGGCATCATGAATTGCACCCAAGTAAGACTACTTAAGTTTTGTGTTCTAATTGCTCCACCAACTATCTATTCCCCATCTCTCTTCCTGTCTTGTGCCTCCCTACTGCCTTAAGACACAACAATATTGAAGTTCAAGTCATTTCATAATCCTACAATGGCCTATAAATGTTCAAGTGAAAGACTGATTTATACATTTCTTATTTTAAATCAAAAGCTTGATCAAAGTCAAAGAAAACTTCTTGAAGGAAATTAAAAGTGCCATTCCAGTGTACACACAAATGATAAGAGAATGAAACAGTTTTACTGCTAATATGAAAAGTTTCAGTGGTCTGGAGGATAGATCCACTGGAATACTCCAACAGGCCAAAGCCTAAGCCAAAGTGAGGGTCTAACTCTCTTCACTTCTATGAAGGTTGAGAGGTAAGGAAGCTATAAAAGAAAAATATGAAGCTAGAAGTTGATTCATGAGGTTTAGCAAAAGAAAAGTGCAAAATGAAGCACAAAGTGCTAATGTAGAAACCACTGTGAGTTACCCAAGATCTAGTGCAGATCATTAGATGAAGTTGACTGCACTAGATCTCCAAGTAGATGAAAGAGCCTTATGTTGGAAAAAGATACCAAAGAGGAAGCTCATAGCTAAAGAAAAGTCATAGCTAAAAGCTTTAAAAGACAGGTTCTCTTGTTAGGAGCAGCTAGTGACCTTAAGCTGAAGTCAATGCTTATTTATCATTTAGAAAAATCCTAAGGCCCTTAAGAATTACATTAAAACTACTCTGCCTTAGCTCTATAAATGGAACAACAAAGCCTGGATGAGAACACATCTATTTACAATAAGGCTTACTGAGTATTTTAAGGGCACTGCTGATATCTACTGCTTAAAAAAAAAAAAAAAAAAATTTTTTTCTCTTTCAAAATATTACTGCTCACTGATAATGCATCCAGTCACTGTAAGAAGCCTGATGCCTGATGGTGGCCTCTTAATAATATTGTATCCATTATTAATGTTGTTTTCATGCCTAACACAACCACCATTCTGTAGCCCATGGAACAATGAGTTATTTCAAGTCTAATTAAGAAATACATTTCATAAGGCTGTCTGCCATACTGATTCCTCTGGTTTGGACAAAGGCAAATGAAAATCTTCTAGAAAGGGTTCACCCATTTTAGAATGCCACTAAAAACATTTTTGATTCATGGGAAGTCAAAATGTCAATATCAATAGGAATTTGGAAGCTAGCTGATTCCAATCCTCATGAATGACTGAGGGGTTCAAGACTTGAGTGGAGGAAGTAACTACAGATGTTGAGTTTAAGAATGTGACTGAACTGTGGAATTTCATGATAAAAATATAATGAATGAGCAGTTGCTTCTTACAGATGAGCAAAGAGGTTTCTTGATATAGACATGACAACAAATGAATGATAATATCACATAAACTTAGCTGATAAAGCAGTGGCAGGGTATGAGAGGACCCCTCTTTTTTAAATTGTTATCAGCAGCTGGTATGCTACAGAAAAATCTTTTATGAAAGAAAGAATCCAGTGATGTAGTAATCTTCATTGTTTTGTTTTCAGAAATTATCACAGCCACCCCAATTTTTAGCAACCACCATCCTCATCAATGAGCACCCACTGACATGGAGGCAAGACCACCAGCAAAATTATTGATTCATGAAGGGTTCAGGTAACTGCTGACATTGTTGAGCAAAATTTTTAAATTAAGGTGCATACATTTGGGTCTTTTAGACATAATGCTATTATTTACTTATAGTATTGTGGACACATACTTTACATACATCGGAGAACCAAATTTTTTTTTCTAACTGGCTTTACTGCGACATTTCCTCTATCAAGTTGGTCTGGAACTGCACTCATGGTATCTTTAAGGTGTGCCTTTTGAATCTTCTTTTATGCTTGGTTTTCAGTCACTTGATCAAATCACCAATACTCTCTAAAGACTTTAACACCCTTAACCAAGAAAGCAAGTCTTTGCACAATTTTTAGGCTGAGAAAGTCATGGCAATTCCTAATAAAGTCCTTAAAATCCTCTATCTTTTTTTTTCTTTTAATTTTTTATTTCGTGCTTTATTCCATATTTTACCAATGCAAAATACCTAGTACTTGTAATTTTGTTCTGGATTGTGATTTTCATTTGTTGCACCTACATATTCAAAGTATACTTCTCTCTTCAAACTACATTAAAATGAGCTGTGATTTTTATTTTTCTAACACTTTCCTGGTAAAACTGGGATGACTCCTATATAGTATTGCACATTTTAAAGGTTTAAAATACAGTACACATGAGGTACCATGTTAGAAACTTAACATTTTCTCTGATCCCCACAGCAACCTAAAAATTTGATAGCAGTATCCCTATTACAAATGAGAAAAATGAATATCAGACCTGAACCACAAAAGGCAGGGTGGGGGCAGGGGAATGAATGACATACAGATTGAATGTAAAATTAAAACTGTCCCTACTTGCAGAATACATGATTATGAAAAAAAATCTAGAGATCTATGGAAAAAAAAAAAAGACTAGTTGGGTGTGGTGGTGCATACCTGCTGTAATCCCAGCAACTTGGGAGGCTGAACCAGGAGGAGGGCAAGTTTGAGGCCAGCCTCAACAAATTTGTGAGGCCCTAAGCAAGCAACTTAGCAGGACCTTGTCTCCAAAAGGCCCAGGGCTGTAGCTCAGGGGTAAAATGCCACTAGGTTCAATCCCTAGTACCCTGCTGCAGCATCCCCACCCCTGCAAAAAAAAAAAAATCCTAGAATAAGTGAATTCAACAAGGTCACAAGATACAATACAAACATATCAAAATCAACTGCATTTCTGTATGCTAATGATGAACATGTAGACACCAAAGACAAGCAGTTAAAAAAAAACTCCCTTTATATACATTATATCAATATTAATAGGAATTTGGACATCAAATTGCTCAAAAAATGTGTATAGCTAACAAAAAATGTTCAAGACTTCTATAATAAAAGTCAAATGATGCTGATGAAAAAAAAAACAAGTCCTAAACAGACATACCATGTTCAGTTTAAAAAAAAAAAAAAAGATGTCAAGTTTCCCTAAAATGATATGCAAGGTTAATCAATTCCTATGAATGTTCCAACAAACTATCTTGTAGACATAAACAATATTATCTTATAATTCTTACATTAAAGCAAATGAACCAGAATAGCTATAATTTTGAGTCAGTCTACATAAGTTCAAGACACACAGCTATCATAATTTAAAAGTATATAGTACCAGCAGAGGGCATGGATCAATGCAACAGAAGAGAAAACCCAGAAACAGACCCACGTAAAAATGCTCAACTGATTTTTGACAAAGGTCCATAAACAAATGAATGGAGAGGCAGAACATTTTTTTTAATACTAGGCCAAAAAAAAAAAAAAAAACAACAAAATTAAAACATCCAAATAAGAAACCTGAACCTAAGTCTTATCTCTTAGATAAAAATTAATTCAAAATGGATTACAGGTTTAAGTGCTAAAACATGCAAGTATAAAACATTTAGGGTTAAAAAAAAAATCCTTAGGATCTAGAGCTAGAAAAAGAGTTCTTAGACTTCATATCAAACATAGTCAGTCACATACAGCAGTGTCTTTAATCTCAGTGACTTGGGAGGCTAGAACAGGAGGATTCTAAGTTTGAGACCGGCCTCAGCAACTTAGCAAGACCCTGTCTCAAAAAGGATGGGGATGTGGCTCAGTGGTTAAGCACCCCTCAGTTCAATCCCTGGTAACCCCCCTTGCCACCCCAACAAAGAGCACAATTCATAAAAGGAAAAAACTAATGAAGCCAAAACACTTAAAAAATTCAATTAGAAAATGTACAAAACACATTTTGCCAAAGATGTAAAGATAACAAGATATTCAACTTGATTTACCATTAGAAAGATGAGACTAAAACTAAAATCTAAATACCTATATGAATGGCTAAATTAAAAATATAGTGACACTACCCAACACTAGTGAGGATGTAGAGAACATGGATCACTGTACACTGCAAGTGGGAATGTAAAATGGTGACCAGTTGCTATGGATCAAGATGCACAGAAAAATGTACTAACACATTAAGCATAACTTATTGTCAAAGTAAACTACTCACCCAGACAAAATAAGAAAAATACCAAGTTTGAATGATATACCTCTAGACTAGTGAAGTTTTCTGACCTCATCTCTCCTTTAAAAAAAAAAAAAATTACTGAAAAGCAGCTGCCCAAGGTGCCACACCTTGCTTATTTACCCCTCTCAGGAACCAAATGACTAGAGAGAAACCATTAACCAGCAGTAGCACAAAGGAAAGATCCAAATGGTATATAAAAATATATGGAGGGTAAGTAAAAAAGGTTTCCATCCAACACAATTTTTAAGCAATACCAGGAGAATTGATTCTATTTAAAATAAATAAATAGAAATTATAGAACCTATATAAAAATCTTGCAGTGGGGAAAAAGGATGCAAAAAGATGAAAGAGAGCAATTCTAAATATTTCATTAAAAACGAAAATGCAACTGTATAGGACTGCTTTGTATTAGTTTAGAAAATGACAGACATGAAAGACAAGCAATGGAGAGCCAAAAGAGAATAACACATTCTCCAAACAATAGTGTGTGTGTGTATGTATAATATATAAATAGAAAATACATATATATATATTTTAAAACATATCTTTAAAAGTACTAAATACTGTAAATCTGAATAAAGATCTCATACATGACCCAAAAAATCTGATACATATAGATCAGTACTTAAAAGATATCTTGAATTTCACTCAGACTCTGATAAGTATCCAGGAACAAGCAAGACAAAAGCAAAACATTAGGCAGATTTTTTAAAAAGCGCCTAGTATTATTTAATGACAAATACGACAAAACCTAAGTTTCTCAGGGGGAAAAACGTGTGCTCATAGGCTTAAATATGAAGCAAGTTGTCATTTAAGAATCAAAACAGGAAGAATTTTCAAATATGCAAGGGTTCAGTACCCATATACCTTTAGGTGGTATATTTACCACCTAAAGATATAATTCAGCTAAGATAGAAATCTAAATATAAAAGAATACCTCTCAGAAATGGAGAAATCATACCATCGTTGGTAAGAGACACGTGATTCTTTCCAACATAAAACTATCAAGAAACTGTGGTAACTATTTCACAACGTAGAAATGTTATCCTGTAAAAAAAGCTATGTAGGCTAAAACAATACTAGTAATTAAGAGATCTAGGCAAAAATGACATCAGTTCCAACTACAATGGAGCTGGAGAGTGGGGAGAAGGAGGAAAGATACTGTGCTTCTAAGAATTATGTATTCTAATTTCATCATGGGGCAACTCAAGAGTTGTTTTTTTAAAGTTCAATTATAAAAAATCTTTGCACATTAAAGTTTAACCCCGCCCCCCAAAAAACCCCATATATCCAGTACACAGATTGATTATAACTTTAAAATAACATGTATTCATTCTTCAGTTAATTATGGTATTTTAGTGCCAGTCTCAGACTCAAGTCATCTTATCTCTAAATACTTCGATAGTCCTCTCTGAAAACATGAACATTTTCTTACAAGCTACCATGCCATTATCAAATACCTAACAAAACTAACATTAATTCTTTGGTTTCATCTAACTCACAGTTTGTAATAAATTTCTCCTACTGTCGTCTGTAATCAAGTTACCTCAATTAGCTCAGAAATGTCTTTTTGCCATTGGTTTTCTCAAATGAGAATTCAAACCATATTCATAATCACAGATTTAAAACAATACTTTAATATTAAACATAAAAGCCCAAATGAAACATATTTTTTTTAGAAAGCTAATTATCAAAGCTCACTCCAGATATAAAACCTAAATAACCATAAAAGAAATAATGTAAGAGAATCAGACATCAAGAAGGTCCAGACTTTTCCTGGATGAAATATTTCAATCCCTCAATAAATAATTTTTATTCTACATAGATCATTTTAGAAAATTCAGAATTTAACCAATTCTTTTACAGAAAAGTTTGAGACCAATATTTGAAAGAGAATCTCAAAAATATATAACACAGTAAACCAGAATCCAATCTCATTCTCCCATGTTAGAGTATTAAAGAAAAAGCAACACAAATAGTAATTACCTTAAGTTGAGTCCAAGGCACTTGTGTGAAAGTGATTTATTGGAGAACAAAAAAATTAAAATCACAAAGATAAAGGCAGAGTAAAGCCTCCCATAAGAGTGGAGAAGGACATGAGAGAGCAGACTTTAATCACAGCTACCTTCAAATAAACTTTGACCCTGTGCAACTTGCTATATTCTGTAATTTAAGTTCTGAGAGCTATAGTTTTCAGTAGAGCAAAAAATCTTATAGCCATGAGGGTCATCTAACTCCCTTTGTTTCCCAAGAATTTATCTGTTCTTATTCTTCCCCATCTCCTAAGAACTGCTTTATGTATATTCTTCAAATTTTCCAGTCTCTAAATTATTCTTGACAAACAACTGATGTAATCCCCCTCCTCATTTGGAGTTTTTGCCTTTATTATTTGTTAAGAATCTCAGAGCACATTTCAGCTGCTTGAAATTTGTGTCTACTAATTTCCAATTCAGATTAACCCAAATAAACTTGTTCCTTAATCAACTTGTACCTCGGTTTCTCTTAAAGGTCAACAAAAGTATTTCCTGGAAACTTTTATAGGGTAATAAAACAGGTAGAGGAACAAAGCAAAAGGAACATACCAAGCAAATTCCCATAGAGGGCAACTGTAGCTCATGCTGAGTAGCTCTGGAAACAATAGAGGTTACAATTTAGTTTACTCCTACCTTCAGTCACTGGTTAATATCTGTCCTAAGAAATAGATTTCCCAGATGCTTCTATAGCACCTATATAGGTAAGTGCAGGCTTTGTCACTATGAGAACAGCCATCCCACAAAAAACCATAGGAGCTAGAATTGGGAATGCATACACACTAGGAGACTACCATAGAGCAAGAAGGAGATAGCAGATAATGCCACTGCTCTGTTGATGGATCTGTTATGATTTTTAGGAGGGGAAAATTAAAAACTACTTGGTCTGGAATCACATTATGGATTCCCCAAAAGATTGCACAATAAACCACTTCAGTAGAATCATCTTACAGTTGACAATCATTGGCCACAATTCCCAGACATGTACAGAG